ACATGGTACACAATAATACATGTTACATAACAATACATGGTACACAACAATACATGATATACAACAATACATGGTACACAACAATACATGATACACAACAATACATGGTACACAACAATACATGATATACAACAATACATGGTACACAACAATACATGATACACAACAATACATGATACACAACAATACATGATATACAACAATACATGGTACACAACAATACATGGTACACAACAATACATGGTACACAACAATACATGATACACAACAATATACGATGCACTCGATTATTGGAATACAACTCACATTCAATCGTATGTAATAATTTCAAATACATTATTAGTGCTCTCTATTGTCAACGCTCTGGGTCAAAACAAGGAAATGTTAACTGAGCTACGGAAATATCGCCAAAAATGTATTGAATGTATACAACGTGTGCGAGTTGAATTTATCTATATAAGAGATAATTATAATAGCGAACCAGTTTGATAAATTACAGAGTGAACAATTATTTTGTTACATAAAAGAAACGCACCTTCCAATCACCACCCAGCTGTTGCCATGCTCGATTGCGTCATTTGTGATAGCTCCATTTGGCATTATGAATCCTAAAAACGGGTGTTGTGTTTTGTCGAGATACTTAGGACCAAGCATTCCACACTGTTTCTCAACAAGAACTGAGTTGTCGTGTATGTCAAAACGTATTTCATTGCGATTAGTCTGTGGATTCTTGATCCATAAAATCCACCATTTTGCAGTTACAGAGAAAATCGCCTTCACGTATTGACTAATGACCTGAACTTGAATATTTCCATCATTAGATATAAATGTAGTACCAGAAACCAACACTCCGCCAACCTGTGTGAACATAGTACATAATTCTGTTTAAACATTTGTATTAACGAATACATATACTCATATGCTAGTAATCAGAATATCGTATATTTGTATGTAGTTATTGGCAACAGTTATGACAATAATTTCACTCTATTGTATTCCTAGGATTTTGTTCATCACCATACTGTGGGCTAATATCAATAATTTACTTTAATAACTACTTGATAGCCACTTTCGACCTACATTATTCAGCTATTTACAGACATGCCTTGAATACCATATTCAATGTTAGAAATATCTTTGGGTTTAGCATTTGAAATCATGGCGGTGTCTGGAATTTGCGCTAGACAGTAAAAAAGGCATGTTGGAACATATAAAACAATCGTATTGGTACCACTCTTCCAGCCATACTCGTTGATTTCAAACGGTTGACCCCATTGCTACACGACTCTGTTAAAGTAGTCAACTAGACGCCATTTTGTTTTATTTTGTGTGTGTATTCTCCCAATTTCCCGGACACTGTTTGACCGATTTTGTCAGTTAGCCTCTCAGGATGTTACCTCAATCGTTTATAAGACACGCTCAGACCGAATCCAGTTGGACTTCGTATAGAGATCACGACTTACATACCAGACGGGGATCGTATGCTATTTGATTTTCACATACCTGTATGGACCCATCATCTAAAAGATCGAGAGTATTACCATCAGCAATCACAGTCGCACTCTCTATACTCTCAACATTGGCTTTAACAAACACGTGTTTGACAATC